GGTGGCATGACTCCATTCTGTACTGCGCTGTACAACTCAGTTGTACCAAGGTAATAGAAATTTGAGTGGAGCACTTTGTAACTTTGTTAAGAATTGTACCGTATAACTAAATTTATTAAAACAAAGATTATTATTAATTATCATTGTTCTTTCATGTTTACTATTATTACTGTATTACTTTTCATGTTTTTCTTTGGTAGCTGTGTTTCTCTTGTCATTTAGTTTTTTCAGTCCCCCCTGAAATGGATGGATGTTTGTGTACTTTTTCTTCATCTGCTAGAGCTCACATTTTGTTATGTTATTCTCCCTCTCCCATTACAACGTGACACAATCTCCTGGAGCACAAAGTGATGTTGTTAAATTGCTTATGTAATTAAATTAAAATGGAAAAAAGCTTAAAATTTTCACATGTGAAGTTAAAACCAGTAAAAGTGCATCATTATGGTCAAAAATAAGTTTTAAATTGCTTGTTTACAGCTGTTCAGTATCAAGTAAAGCCTCAGTCCCTAAAATGTTGACAGCTTGCAGTGTTTTCTCCTCCCATCAGAATAAGCTGCGTGACCTGATGGTGGAGCTACGAACAGAAAACAGCAGAGAGCACAGATTAAATAACAAAAACAAAATGTTGCCTCTTAGTGAACTTTATTCAGCAGGAGTCGTCAAAAATGGCAGGGCAAAAAAATGCACACAACACCAGATGTTTGCAGTCATCCTGGGCGGTGAGCTGCTATAATTAGCCAGACACATTTGATTCGCAGCCAAGGAAAGAACATATCTGCAGGGGGCAAGTCCAAACCATCCCCAGTGCTGCCGGGAACTACTCGGCTCACTTTTGATGTCTCTGCGGGAAACACTCATGACATAAAAATACGGTCTGGGCTGCGAGGGACAGTCACGCATGTGTGGAAAACACTCACAGGATCCGAAGTCTCCACATAACACAGCGCTATCTCTGAAGATAACCTACATACAGGAGAGCTCTTTTTCTGCACGGCGACTTGTTTTTGTGCTACAAAGATCCGCTTAAAAGTCAGCGGCATCAATTCTCAGTACATCTGGTACAAATCGCAGCGTTAATCTCCTGAAGTTTGCTCTGTGCCTCGGCTTGTTTGTGCCTCTGCTGCTCCAGCTGTTTCTGAGATCTGGTGATGGGCCAGTGAGCGACATTTCAGGACAGATTTCGAGTTCATTCAGATGTTCACTAACATAAACCTAACACGACCCTAAATGTGAGTCCCAAACATAGTGTTGCTGGACCCAAAGGAGAAAACAACTAAAGGACCACCGTGCAAGTTGTCGTGCTGGAAGAGACCATAACTATGTTAAAAACACCACCATCTCTGAAGCATTGTGGTTTTGTGTTTTATGTGTTAACTGAGAAAAACATGTTAAATTCTGAGGAATGTTTAGTGACTTCTGGGCTGGTTATTGGTCAGCTGCAGTAAAAGTCTCATTATCAAAAGCCTATAATTTTCTCTAAAACCCCAGTGTGATGTTTTTATACTTTGGCATTCATTTCTGAGCTTAATTTCAGACTTAAGCATCACAATAATGAGCACAATAATAGGTGGACATAAAATACAATGGCATTAGAACTAAAATGAATATTGGATGTGACTGTGGCTCATTTTATACTTCATAGTGTTGCATCTTAGACATCTCTTAATGTCCTGTTTGTTTTTAAATGTTTTTATGTTGCATAAAGTATACTTTACTACTTTGGTTTCATTTGGATTACATAATAATGGAGTAACTAAGTATAAAATTACTTTTGAAAATAGGTAATCAGTAATTAGTTACTAATTACTTTTTGCAAATTTTCAATAGTTATTAGTTACTTAGTTACTTTTTATAAACATGAAACACAACCTGAATAGGTAATAAGGTAATAGACCTTTCAGGCCAATTCTACTTTTTATGCATAACCCATCAGATAAAATGTAATCAAATGAAAAAGTCTCTTTTTAAAAATTGTTTTATGAGCTTTAATCTTTTAAATTTTTTGCGCATTGCATCAAGCAAAAATTAAATTTAAACAGTCTTTGACTGGAAGAAATTTGTTTAACATTTAAACCTATTTTCTGCATCTTCCAGCATATTTTGTGTTTATACTCACTCTTTCAAATAGATGCAAGTAAAACACAGCAGAAAATAAATAAAAAGACTCAGAGTCCTGTCACTCTTAAATCTATTGTTACCTGTTAAGCAGGAGTGGAGCAGGTGGAGGTTTACTGGGTGCTGCAGCGGTCACGTCAGTGGGAGGATCCGGGGGTTTATCTGTGAATTTCACATCCCCGTGGCAGCGTGCTAAGTGCTTGCTCAGAAGTTTTGGGGGTTTTTTTTGCTCTAAAAATACATTTTTTCCCCACACAGTGTACGCTAATGTTTTTTATATATATATTATATATATAAAACATTATAATTTATATATTTAAATATATATATATATATATATATATATATATATTATAATGTTTTATATATATATATATTATAATGTTTTATATATATATATTATATATATATATATATATTATCCATTGTTAATCTGCACACGTCTGTTTCCACGAACGTCACATGCCCTTACGTCATTGTCATGAGACACTCCTACAAACGCAGTAACGCCATGTGCTTATGGGAAAGTAACAGTAATTTAATTACTTTTTTTGCAATAGTAATCCCTTATTTTACTTGTTGCTTGACAAAAGTAATCAGATTACTGTTTTCACTTCTCATGTGTGCCGCACATAGACCATCTGAATAATACTTGTAACCACAGACCCATCTACATCTTATGCTGGGACTAAATGATGAGTTACTGGTTTATTTTTGAGACCTTTTACAAGTTCTGCTGCACTGTGCTTTTAGGCTTGTGGATCAATCGTGGAGCTCCTACTCATAATCTGTGGCTGCAAGCTGTGCGAAGTATCATTCCTTTTGAAACCTTTTCTGCAGCATTAAAGGATAAACCCTTTTTCATCCTATCAGCCCTGGGACTCATTTCCTAAGTACCTGGGTGCCTCTGCGTCTCAAAGGATGAGCTTGGCACTTTTAGATCATGCCTGGAAAAAAGGAGATGAAATCATAGTTTCATATGATACATGCATTATGTGTTGCAAAAATACTGCTTGTAGCTGGTAGTAGGTGAGATTGGGTTGAAATTTTAGTCCAGGTGTTTGGAACTTAAATAAAGAGTCAATACTTATCTGACAAAGAGTTTTCACAGGATGCTGTGTGAATAGACGCTTACTGCTTCCATAGAAATGAAGAAGGTAAGTAACAGCCTGCTGCTGCTACTCATGTAGACACATTTATAAAAGTAGAGGTTTGGGAAGTTTGCTGGTCTGTCCACTCAGGAGTATGTTAACACAGTCTTCCCAGGAGTGGGAATTCACTACAAGATCAGGCAGTAAAAACCAAACAAACCAATAGCTACGTCCCAAACTCTAGAGGCCTCATTTAGCATGTTAAATGTGAAAGTTTATGACATTAAAATTGGAAAAGCACAACAGCAAAACTACTACAGAAGTATGACTGAAAAAGAAAAGAATCAAGGTGCTACTAAGGCCCAGGCAAAGTCCAGACCTCAACCTGACTAAAATGTTGTGGTGACAGAGCTGCGCATAAGCAAAAGCCTGCAAACTTCAGTAAAATAAGTCAATGTTATAAAGACGAATTTGCCAAAATCCTCCGCAACAATGCAAGACATGGATAAAAGTCATATAGAAAACCATTGCTGCATGTTTTTGTTACTAAAGGTGGCTCTACGAGCTGCTGAATCATGTGGTATACTTATTTATTCACAGATATGTGATTCCCTCATTTCACAGCAGCCAACTTACCTGCAGGTATATGTTTGTTGTATTCTGACAGAGCTAGTACACAAACGTTTCCAAATGTTAAACCATTGCTCTAAAACCTCAAAAAGAGATGTCTACATTTAGGATCTATCATGTTTTGCTATTAAACTCCAGCTCTTGCCACTTTGAAACATACAACAATAATTCCCTGCCATCCATGATTAATAAAGACTCTTATTTTATCACATAATGCAGTTTACTGAATCTATCTGGTTCTGATTACTAACCTAATAAACTATTTTCCATTTTCTTGTACCTGCCCAGGACATTAAATGCTATTATGATGACAAATGAACACACAGACACACACACACACATGACCTGAGGATAAACCTCCGGGTCCATCCTCCCACTTCATCCATTCATCCCATTCATCCACTCATTCATTCATGAAGACAGATTAAGGTATTAAATTCCTCGTACACTATTCTCTCCAATCCCCTTCATGTACCCAGACTACATTATAAACCTGAGGGTGGGAGGTGGTGGTCAGAGTGGTGGGGGAAGGAGACGCAGATGCTTTTATTTTTGAATGATTTTTTTCCCCGGATTATTGCACAGAATCATGCACTGGAGGCCAGATAATCCAAATTACGCACACAGAAGACGTATAATCCACTCCCAGCTGTTGAGATGAATATCGGCCAGACGTACTTGATGTTCCAAGCTCACCACAGAAACATGAAAGCAGCCATAAAATAACAAGTGCAGACAGATTTAACTTGTTGCCCATTTGATTTACTGCTTTAATTATCTCCAACAAAGCTGCTATTCCCACATAAATGCCTCTGCTTTTATTGTTTGTGGCTTTAAATGTCACAGCATGTCCACATTCATTCTCTGAGACTTCTGCACACACAGGATTACATTTATTGGATTATTTATTTATTGGCCTAAAATATCTGACTTACATTTATCTGCTTACTATGTACAAATTCAGATATTATTACTTCTTTAAACCACTTTCCTTTCACCTCCATTTTTTAAATGTGACAGCAGTTTTAAACCTTGGTCTCATGGCTGAATAAGCATCTTATGTAAAGGTCATTAAGGCAATCTCAGGCTATAACATTTCCAATAACCATACGGCAGCAAACTGAATGACATCAAAGAACACTCCACATGAATAAATCTCTTTATTCAGTATTTATTTCTCACAAGCACAATTAGAAATCCACAGCTGGAGCATCACACATATGACCACATGGTCCAGTCTGGTCCAGTGGACGGTTTTATAGAACATAAACACAGAAGAGAATGAGGGTAACATTTTCAGATTTCTGTGCTGCAAGTTGTTAAAAGATCACATCATTAAAGTATTAATTTAATCAGATTGGGAGGTGTGAGTCACTGTCAGCTGCACAGCCTTCTTACATTACACACTGCCTCCCAAACCACACCAAAGTAAGATGAGCCACGGAAAACTGTGCTGTGCTTTTCTTTGAGTTGCATTTCTTTGTAATGACAACAGACGAGTTTTATGGTTCTTCTCTCAGTCTGTTTCACCTCTCTGCCTTTCCTGATGTCTGTCCTGTTTGTATGTCTGTGCATCCTTCCCAGATGTGTAGCTTCCACTAGCTCCCTGGTTGGCATGTCTGTACACAATCAACCAATCACTATGTTGCGTTTCATTTGAAGTGGAACGTTAACTAATGAAGGAATGGCACAAGTTTTAGGACGATGATGTAAAAGGTAGACTAAGGTGTATTATGCGCCGCCTATGTCGGCCTCCTCTCAAGCCTCCAGAGGCTTCCCCAACACCAGCTGCCAAAGTGCCTCCTTCATCGCCAGCCTCCAGAGGGGTCCCATCTCCTCAGCTGTCTCCTGTGCCGTCGACCTCCTGAGTTGCTTTGCCTCTGCTGCTCCAGGTCTTGCCCTACGGCCGAGCAGACATCCAGAGCTACTTATATTTGGACTCTTGTGCTCCCTCTTTTCTTTTTGTTTGGTTAAAAATGGCTGTTGTAATCTGTGTAATGTAAGAGAGTCATATTAGTTTTCTTGCAGGCAACACAATGAGGCAAGAAGAGAGATGAGGATAGGCATAGGTAATGCACTTAGGTGTGGGGACTTAGCAAGGGGGAGAAAAATAAGATTTCGTTTTTCTGAAAACTGCAGGACCTCTTGTCTGCTGAGGAATTCTTTTGCACCAGTGATGAGGTTCTGAATGGCTAGTGCAGCAAGAGATGGAAATTCAACCTGACTGGATCCAAACTGCCATTAACCCCAGAGAAGAAGAAAAAGGATTAAGACTAAGATGCATTGTATACCATTCTTGTTTAACTGTGACTCACTTAAAAAAAACATACACGGATTACTGACCAAGCTGTATCTGTGAATTTGCGGCAGCATTGAAAAAAAAATCCAACATGCATCAGGTTGCATTCCAGGTATTTCTAGCAGTAGCTGAATGGTTTTACCTTGCTATCGAGCAAACGAAGCCTGTTTCTCTGACTGCTTCTACTGGAATAGAGTCACGCTGGGTTCCAACATCCGACTTCTGAGAAAATAGGAATGCAACCGAAAGAAAGTTTTCCCACGCACTCCCCCACTAGATTGTCTGCGTGCTTTAGTGGCAGTTATTGCAGCAGGTAAATGAAGCTTTCAAACATATACAAGTTCCTCTGGAGCAATTAATTTCAGAAATGTTATTTTCCACTTGAATTTTCATTTTGGGATTCTTTTTTATTTCTTTGACTAAATTTCACCAACTAAATATATGGCAGCAGTTTTTTTCTTACTTTCTATTGTTTTGATTCCATCTCCAGAATTTCTTTGTTTCCAATAAAACAAAAATAATTTCAGTGACACAATTCCAGCCTGCAATATGTGTTATAAAAGCTGCAGCTCCACAGTGCTCTGGAGGTTTACTTCTTTTATCTCGCTATGATGCATAAAATCAGATTTGATTTGAACATTTAAAATTCATCGAGTGACTTTGACAGTAAATTTCATGTAATCAGTGCACGAATGCTCCTTTACTCTTGGTTCAGCTCTCTCATGCTGGCACACCCTGGCATCATTTAATTATTAACATGCAACAAGGACAGACAGATAACTATTTACTGTCACACCAACAGACACTCTAAAAACACCAGTTAACCTGACCAGCATGACTTTGGACCAGTGAGGTGATTGATGCACCACTGTGCACACTGGTCAACTCACGTTACTAATCCATCTACATTATGAAGTTAGTTAGGTTAGTGTTTTACCTTCTTCTAGTTTAGTCCATGATTAACAGATTGTAATTTATTTAATGTTTTTCTCACCTAACACTCAAAGCACTCTTTGCATTGCAGACTGGATGCACGAGACATTTCAACCACCGGCCTCCTGAACAGCAGATAACCCACTCTAAATCCTGAGCTAACATAAATAACAACCTTAATAACAATAATCCAGGACATGTGACTGAAAACAGTATTATTACACACCACACCCTCATTAGCAAAAAATTCTTCTGAAGCTTTCTGAAAGGTTCTGGCCTGATGGTGGAATTGAACTCAGGACGTTCTTGGTGTGAGGCCACCGTGCCACTGTGCTGCCAGTGAGCAATTTCCATGTAGTTTTATCTGCTGCACTAAACCTCTGATGCTGTAAAATAGTGCTCTCTCCGAGTCTCAGCTATTTTCTCCCACTACTCCAGATTTTGATACCTGCCTGCCCTCTCTACAGTGCTTCTCCCTCTGAGGTCCTTCTCTAATTCTTTTTATTTAAATCTGAACCTTTAAACACTTCACAATAGCCGTAGTGTTCCCCGAGCTTGTCATATTCTGTTGAACATCACAGTAATATGATGTTACACAAGTCTTCTCTCAAAGGTCAACCGTCTGAATGTTTTCTCTTCAACTCAAAGCAGGTCTTGCCAAGCAATGTTCCACCCAATGTCTAAAAGTCACCTCACAGATCTTTAAATAACAGCACGCAGCATAGTTTAAACTGTATGTCTGTGAAAGTATGTGAGCTCCCCTTTCAAATGAATGGTCTCCACACAACAACGTGCATGTATGTACAAGAGATGCACTCTTTAATGCAAGTCTCCTTTCAGTCACATTAGTTGCCATGATAGGGACACATTAGAGCTAATAAAGCCAATAAAGGTTAAAACCTGGTGACTGTAGAAGAAAGGCAGCATTATATAACTGTCATCGCATATTAGCCTAAATCCACTCATGTGGCTGCCTTCCCTCATGAGCAGAATCATAAGCAGATAAAATGTGTCTGGAAATACAGATGAAGGGGGAAAAAGTGGGATGAAGGTCAGGAATGCTGATGGTTGTAAAAATGCATTCCCGGCTTGTGTCATATGACTCTGTAACACAAAGAGCTGGGTCTGACAGTTCACGCCTGCAGTCTGCTGCAGCGATCTGATTCTGGTTCCCATGATTTAGCTCAGTAACCCCAGCTCTCGTGATAAAATGGGCGAAAGGGCGTTTTAGGGCACACGAGGCTCATTAACAGTCACCTGCTCATGAGAGTTATGTAAGAACAAACCATCAGGATGATGTTCCAGTTTCTGATGATCAGAATCACAAACTCCATGTCCAGGGTATGGGAATGACAAGGATGACCAAATTGATTAGAGAGGCCGATCAGTGTTCATGTGTGTTAATGTTAAAGAAAGCAGCATCCCACAAGCTGTGTGGCTTATGAAGAATATGATACATTTCTGTGCTCTTCTGTGCATATTCAGACAGAAGCTAATGGGGGGAAAACATGTTTGCATGTTTTATTTGGAGCAGACAGGAGTGACTGACATGGGAATGTTGTGATCCCAGATTTACCAGGGCATGGGGTCGAGGTAAAGTGTCCTAAACAGTTGAAATAGAACATTTTTTATTAAAAATATCTTCTTAGTGACATTCAAATTTGTTTGCTATAAAGCTGTTGGATTCCTCCTTTTGTGCTTTTGGACCCTTAAAATGAAGCAAAGTCTGTTTTTTCCTTACTGTGATGTGAGGCTGACTGGGAATTACTGCAAAAACATGCCATGTTTCTGGGATTTAATATTTAACAGCACAGTTTTTGTGGTAGTTTAAAGCCACCAAATCATTTTGTAAGTGTACTTTATACTGTAGGTTTCACTGTAATTCTCCTTTCATGTTACTGCCACCTTGAGTTTCACTCTTTCTGCCAGTGTCCAGTGGGAAAACCATGCCTCACAACACGTGCTAAACTTCATAGTCCTGTTTGTGTATTCATAACTGGAACATAAAGTACTGGGACATGAACTTAAACTCTTGGCACCTCTTGTTTTATTTAGATTCTTCACACTGACATGGACCTGCTCTGCCTGCTCCGTCTGTCCCAGCAAACACATGCACTCACAGACGCAGCAATAATTTAATATGCTCACGCTTTGAAGAGGGGTATCACAGGTGCCCGTAGCATGCTGCGTCCAGACTGTGGCATTTCACACTGTGCACATTGCTGGTCAATTTGCAGCCCGTGTACAAGCTGAGCTATGTTTGGAGTCTCCTTGGACGTAGAACGGTTACACAAGCCTATCAACTCATCTTTTTCTTTTATATAAACACACTCCAACCTGCTGCTTCCTGCTGCATCAGGCTAAGCTGTGCAGCAGGTTCAGACTGATAAATCAGGAGGATATGAGATGCTGCTATGCAGAGAGAGATTTCAAAGGTAAACGATGTCCTCTTATTCCAAACTGAGCTTGCACACAGCAAACTTCAAAGGGTGAAGAGCATCAGGCAGAGAAAGCAGAGGCCTGAGCTGCAGTCTTTGATCTGATATCTGGTTAAACGAACCATCTGCTTTCTGAGGAGCCACAAGTAGAAGCCACTTCCTTCCCTGGACGAATTACAAAGGCTACTTTCATCTGGGTCAGCAAGGAAGGAAGGAACCAACTCAGTTCGGAAAATGTAGAGTGACAGATTCTGCACAACTAAATTGTTTTCTCCATGCATAGTAAAGTTTAATGTCATCCTGGCAGGGCTATGTTCAGTGTACAGTTAAGTTTAAATGAATGAAGCATCATATTCATGTATGGAGTCTGTATGCCCACCATCCACTCTGCACCTGCTGCAAAACATTTAAGTCTGACCAGAAATTTAGAGCCAGGCTTTGTTTTAAGTAAGGAAAAGTTTGTGGTTTTGATTGCACCCCATCAGTAGGCAGCAATTTAAGTTAACTCTGCCAGAGATTACAACGCACTCAACTGAGCGTGACTGGAAAAACAATCTGTGCCGAAACGTATCTGTATATTTTCCAAAGTGAGCATCTTCCTTGCTTACTGACCCAGATGGAAGTAGCTTTTCTAATTTAGGAGGCTTTAATATGTTGGATGCTATTATGCATGATATTACGGGATGCATCACGGCATCAGCTCAATTTAAAACTCCTTGTTCTTTATTTAGAGCCCCATTAGATGTTACCACAGCAACAACCATTCTTCCTGAGATCAGATTAAATAAAACGGTCAATTAACGTTACAGAAAAATACTCTCAGTCAGTGGCAATGAAGCGATATTTAAACCAGCACCACAACACGCATCAGTCTTCAGGATTTCATAATGAAAAAATGCTCCTTCTTTAAATCTAGACTTAGCAGAGTTTCTTCTAAAAATGGCCAGTGTTTTAATTGATTTATTATAATCAGGGTTTGTATATCTTGCATTGATAACTTCTAATTTGCATGTCACAAAAAAGCCTTTGATCTATTATCCTTGTGTCCTTCTGCTCCTAAGATTAGGCTTAAAACATCCTTTTAGTTGAGGCTGGATTAGATGACTCTCTGTGAACTTCCCACAATGCATTCAGAAACTTCTTTGTCCTTCTTTACACTATTTTGACAAACCACATCTGTAAATCTGTAACTCTTATTAAAGTTTGAGTTTTGTGTTGTCTCCCTATTTTCTCTTCTTTTTCCTCCTCAACCTTCATGGTGGCTGCTGCTCTCTGATCCTGCCTCTGCTGGAGGTTTCTTCCTTTTAAAAGGGACTGCTT